TATGTAAAAAATCATATAATAAGCAAAAATAAGTTGAAAATCTTAAAAGATAAAAAGGGAGGGCTAACACTAAATACATACATACCTTGAATTTGTCTAATTTGGGTAGGTTATAAAGTGAGTTTTGTGGGTTTTTTTTTTTTCCCCTAGCTGCAAAGCCATATGTAGTTTTCTTCTTAGTCTCCCATTCATTATTAATCCAGGATGTTTCACACAAATAATTTGACTGTATTTAACAATTGGAGGAAAGTGCTCATTATAAATTGTGAACCAGAGAACCTCTAAAGTGTCAAATATGATACTGCTTTGCAGTTGTAACTTTTTGTGTATAAAAGGAGGAAAATAATAATAGAACCCATACAGGTTATATGAGGGTAAGGTAGATATGAAGTCTAAATTAATTAATACATATAAAGCATTTAGAAAAGTCTTGTGCAAAGCAAGCCCCTCAGGTGTTAGATGATATTATTACATACAAACTAATATCTATAGCTAAAAAGCTGTTTTAAGTCGGCTAACCCTTTCTGCTTCTGTCCTGTGGCATTGGTACTTTCCTTCACAGCCTTTTATATTCAAATTAATTTGATTTTGATTCACATGTTTTTTATTAAAGAATGACAAGAGCCAGGCATGGTGGCACATACCTATAATCCCAGTAGTTGGGGAGGAAGGCTGAGACAGGAGGATCATGAATTCAAAGCCAGTCTCAGCAACTTACCAACATCCTGTTTTAAAATAAAATATTTTAAAAAGGGCTGGAAATGTGACTCAGTGGTTAACACTACTGTGTTCAATCCAGGATACAAACAAATAAACAAACAAAAAACCCCAGCAAGATTCTTAATTGGTTGCAAAACTGTAACTGCATCAAGTATGCATTCCAAAAGTAGTATTTTACTATAGAAGCATAATCTCTTGATGCAGTTTCATCTTTTTCTGTGTTGCAAAATAAGTGAATAAAATCTCTAATGCCATCTGGCCTTCCTGATGGTAATTAACACTGTTATTTCTGAGCTTCCAGACTAATATCTGTAGGCTTAATTATCAGCTATCACTAAGATCAATTGCATTCTGACTCTTTTTGGTGACAGAATTTTATTTCAAAATTCACATCCTTATTTCCTCATTTCCTTTGAAAGGTATGATTTATGTCATTTAAAGAAAGCAATTCCACTTGGGCTGGTGCTATTTAGTTTGGGAGGGAAGTTCACACCTTGAAAGTAGCTGACTTTTCACATCCTAATAGAAGGATGTAAGGTTAGCACTTTTGATTTGGTAACCCAGCATCCTAATAAGGAACTGTGAATAAAAATATAAAAAAGGAAATATCTGTACCAAATAACAAGACTAAAATAATTTCTTTTGTGGATTCTAAATATAGTTGAGGTGTCATATACAATACACCCTTGACTGGTAGTTTAGGTCAGTTATTGTAAAAGCTGGCAAAGTGAGATATCTTAAAGTTTTAAATTTTAACTTAAAACATAGCTGTATATTTGTTCACCAGTCCTTTGCTTAGTATCTCAGGAAGCTATCCACTCTTTTAAAAAAAAGTAGTTTTTATATCCATCATAGAACTGAACTCATTGGTGGATTTTGCATACATAGAAAGTCAATATAAAATATTTTAGTTGAGAGACTTCAAGATAATGAGATATTCTAGCTTTAACCTAGAAAAAAGTTTTTAAGAATTCATGGGGAATATTTAAAATACATAAATCTGGAATAGTAAATAGTATACTTGACTTTAGGCAGAGGCTGACAATGAATTGAAACTCAGTAAGTTCAATATTGTAAACAGCATAAACATTTTATGTAGTAATTACAATAACTAATTTTGCATTGTTCATTTTATTTGTTTTATGAGTTGTGGAGTTACCATGACCAGCACGGCCATTAATTCAGAAACTGGTAAGGGATTGAAAAAGACAAACTCCTGTATAGAGAGAAAGCTGGGACCAGGTAGGACACCGTCTCTGATGGAGGAACATGACCCAGAGCTAAATTAGCACATTTATTATATAGGTTTTATCATCAAAAAGTTGGGAAAGTTTCTGCAAAGCGGGCAGACTGAAGGATGCAGCACTGGTGAGACATTAGGGTTATCTTGTTAAGCTCAGAATTCTATTTCCCCAGGAGCTGGTGCCTGAGCTCAAGATCCAGACTGATATAACTCCATACCTTTGTACAGGGTTTCAGCAGGCCAGGTGTCACTATAGTAACCCAGTAATCTGGAACTGCACCTTTGCACGGGAAGTTTCCAGCACAAACGCAGCCCTGAGGCAGTCAAAGCTCACAATCCAAGTCACCACTCTCCATATGTAATAGTCTCTCATTATGCTTCAAACTTATACCTGAAATAGCTCTTGGCCATTTTGTTCTTGCTTGGCCCAAGTTGCTATTCCTCATTCCCTCTACTGCTCTCTCTGTTCAGGCTTCATTTCTTGCATTAGAGCTGGTTTAGCTTCTAGTTTTACTCCTTTCACTATATTCCCTAGACTGCTACTGCAATGATTTTTTTCTAGAATACAGATAGAAATATTATGTACCACTGTCTTATTTATCTCTTTTCAATTTTTTCTTTTACCTTCATGAATCTGCATATAAATCTACTAGAGATTGGAATTGATAGTTGTTGAATAACCATTAATTGAATTATACTTATTTTTTATTATTTGGAGATTTTACAAGTGAACTAACCAATATTCTTTGGAGCCATCTCTTATTAAGACAAAGTGAAAGAAGGGATAGGGAAAGAAGAGAATTGAGTCTTTTGATTGATAGGCTATCGGAAGTTTTTCTGAAGTACATTTATTTTTTGTGCATCTGTTTATTTCTTCTGGTTAGGTGAGTTGTTCCTAAAACTATTAAATATTATTCAATGATAGTACATCTATGAAAGTAGAGAAGATAATATCAAACAAAAAGGGTTGTTATGAAAATAGACTGATGTATTTAACATACCAACCAACATGGTAAGCCCTTAATGAGTGATAGCTACTATATCTAGAGACACTGTGGATGTGATAATTTAAGAGTACTGACTTCATGGTCTTTAGACTGGGGTTTAAATTCTGGCTTCCCATTTGTTAGCCCTCTGAACTTGGGCACTGCATCTTAATTTGCCCATCTGTAAAATAAGGTATAAATAAATATCTCACAGGAATATTTTAATGTATTAGTATATTAGTAGATATAATAAGCACTCAAAAAATGATTTGTTGTAGTATGTAGTTATCACTATAATAAACATTTATAATAAAAAGTACCCATTATGTTGTAGATTCTGCCCAAGATCCTAGATGATGCTGTCTGTGATTCTGAGATTTCAGATTTATATCCCACATCTATTATATGACTACTTCATTTCACTTAGATAGTATGTTTTACTTTTAGAGGCTGAATTATATAGACAAATCCCAATGTAAAAATATTACCTCAGACTTCACTGAGCTTAAATATAGCCAAGAATCAAGAAACAAGCAAAAGCAAATAAAACAAATAGCACAGATATCAACAAAGTCTATGAGTAGCCAAAGATGTCACACACATACACACACACACAAATTTGTACCTATATACTTATGGAAGTATCTCTCAACTTCTTGTTTAGTGCCCACACTTCTGTTGCTTGTTAGCCAAGTGACTTTTGGTGAGTCTTAGACAATTTCAATTTTCTCATCTGTGAAATAAGAGTTAGCTACTGTTTTTTTCTTTTGGTACTGGGATTGAACCCAGAGGCACTTTATTGTTAATGGCAAGATTGCAATAAGTCACCAAGTTGATCTTAAAGCAGGAGATGGAACTTTTATTCACCAGTTGGTGGTCTGGATCCATCAACGGGCAGGCCAAGGGGCAGACTACAAGTCTACACCCTTTGACCTCCTCCCAGGGTTTGAGTACACCTTTATAGTCCAAAACTATATTAATCATAAGTATCTATTGCTATAATTCAAAACCATAAACAAACGTCATGAGATCTAAAATCATAAGTGGAAGGGGGAGTGGGTCAAAATAACCCTAGTTGAGTACAAGATAAAGAATGGTTACTAATGTCTAGACATTCATTCTCTGACAGGGTACATTGTCCAAGAAAAATAGGAACCAAAAAGAGGACAATTTTACATTGTGTAAGAATTGCCATTTTGTGTTGTCAAACATGCTATGCTAAGCAACTGTTGATTGGTACAGGGTGTTCCCATGAGAGAAGCATTTCTTACATGACATGGAGTGTCAAGGCAAAATGGAGTCTGTTTGGTCATTGCCTGTATAGCCTGGCGTATAACATTTTCACTGAGTTACAACTCCAGCCCTTTTTATTTCTATTTTGAGACAAGGTCTCACTAAGTTGCTGAGGCTGTCCTTGAACTTATGATCTTTCCGCCTCAGCTTCCCAAGTCACTGGTATTACAGGCATGTGCCATCATGCCTGGCAAGAGTAACTGATTTCTAAAAGTCAAGTCTTAAGTCTAGAAACTTTTAAATTCTGTGTGTAGAGTATCTTAAATTTATTCTCTCTGGGCTCTTTTCTATATTATTCTCTTTAAAAAAAATAAAAGTGTAGTGGGTTTACTTTAAAGTGCAGAACCTATGCACAAGATTCACTGTTATGTCAAACTCTGTGATAAATAAGGAATTTCTAATGCAGCATGACAAACCAAAGAGAACAGTTACAATTTATGTGGAATTATTTAAACAAATTATAAGAATAAATGAGAGTGATTGGTTTTTAGAAATGTGAATACCAAAAAAGCTTCACATCAAAATTATGATAGATTATGCTACAGTTACAAATTAGCCCCGAGTTTCAGTGTCTGAAAACTGTAGAGTATGGTATAATCTAATATTAGTCAGCAGTGATTATACTCCACAGTCACTGAGGTACCCAAACTGGATCCTTTAGCCTCAACTCTTAGCCAGTATTGTCACAGTAGAAGAGAAGTGAAGAGCTGATATTTTGTCCACCAGTATTAAATGCATTGGTTCTTCCTGGCCCATAAATGATAGATATTATTTTACTTATGTCCTGTTAGAATTACAGATGACTCTGAAGAGTGTGGGGTATATGGGAAGAGCACATGGATATTTGGTGAGCATAAGTGCTTCTGCTCCATGGTGTATGAGCTGATTCTAAAAAAGTAAATAGAAGTTAACATGGTAAATGAAGTAATAGGACATGAAAAAAATTCTTCCTCATTATGAAAGTGAAAAAAGTTACCTTTAGAATAAAAATGTGGATATCAAGGAAGAAGTTATATTCTTTATCTCAGTTAAACCTCACAATAATTCTCTGAGGTAAGTATAGTTATCACCCACCTTTTCAAGCTTTATCAGTTAGTAGATAGTTAGGTTATGTGGCTCCTTTGTACTTCAGATAATTTGGTTCTAGCAAAGTAAGTCAGTTTCATCTATCTGTTATCAAATTTAAATATTGTAAACGTTATTTTATTTCTGCAATAAAATAACTTACCCATAAGTAATAGAAATTAAGCTACAACTTTAACTTGTTTTGTTTTTAGGGTTTGGACAGAGGAGCCAAAGGCCAAATTTCTACTTTGTGCGGTTTTGCTTCAAGTGTTAGCCAGAAGAAAGAAGCCACTGAAAATAAAAGTTCACCTATACATCTTGTTTCCCCTAACATCAAGAATGGTAATGGTCAGTATGTCTTGGCCAAAAGTATATTACAGTATTAAACTATTTAAAATGTAGATTTTAATCTATTCAGTATTGTTCTGGTAGATCTAGTTAATATAATAAAAAAAATAAGTAAAATATGTAAATATTTGTAAGAAGAAGCAAAATTATTATTATTAGGTGATAGTTACCTAAAGAATGAAATAGAAAACTCATGAATAATTTTTAAAAGTTTGATTAGAATCCACATACAATATAAATGCAATAAATATGTAAATATAAAATACATTTTATGTATCTTTATTATGCAATGAGTAAATATAAATATTTAGTAGATTTCTTATGTTTGAGCAGTAACCAACTAAAAGACTTGATAGAAAATACATAAGATGCTTATAAATGAACCTAAAAGGAAGTATGCAAAACCTACATAGAGAAAATATAAAACTTTTTCAAAAGATTAAAAGATGGTTTGAACGGAAAGACTTATAAATAATAATAAAGATTTTAGGTTCACCCATTTATTCCCTATATTTAGTAAAATTTTCAATAGTTCTTTGGGGGAAATTTAATAAAATGATTCAATATTTGATTTTTAAGAATAAATGTCTGAGAGGATATAAGACAAAATAATTAGGGTGTACATTATTTTGTAGTGCCACATATTATAAAGATGTACTACTGATAGTTTTGGCACCAGGAAAGCCAAAAAGATAGATCAGCAAAAAGTATTGTATGTAAGTAGCATTAAATTATTCACAAAAGTAGAATTAGGCCAATGGACTAACTTCTCAAAAATAATGAAGTTAGATTTTTTAAAACTATAAAAGTACTAGAAGAGTATGCAGGAGAATTTGTAATATGCATGTACTCACTGACATAGTAAATCTACTTTCAGGAATTTAGTCTAAGGAAATAATGTAGCATATATGCAAAAATACAAGGAAAGGATGAACATTATTTATAATAGTATTTGAAGCAATTAAAGTGAATTGAGAAATTATATTTGTTTATATTATAAAAATTGTACTTCTAATGATAAGAATGTGATATGTATATAAAGTGACTAGGACAAATGCTCACAATACATTGTCTGGTACTTTTAAGTTGTAGAATAAAAAAAATATAGTTATATGTAGAATATGATTTTAGTTTTTTGAAAATTGAAGGAAATCTTTTATATTCTGAGAATGAAGGGGTGCCGACTATTGGGGAGGTAGGATTGGGTGTGTATTATTAATGTTTGTTTTTATAACTCTGTATTGTTTTATTATATGAAACATACATTATTTGAACACTTCTAAGTGCCTCTTAACCCTATAAAAAGAACCTGTAAAGGTTTGAATCCTCCTCACATTCTAGACAAACACCTAGAAATGTTTAAGAATATATTTTCTGGTAAATTATCTTATGTCAATAACCTACATGTGGCATAAATTATTCTTGTGCAGATTTTTTGTTTGACACTGCAAGCTAATGCAGGTCAATTCTGTAGTCTTTTAGGTTAGTATCTATGTCACCTCATTAATGAAACTGCCTTTGATAACTTCTTTTTTCCTTGTTACTTCTCTTTCCACCCCCTCCATCAATTAGGTTTTACTGGAGGTCCCAGTGCCTCTATGTCACAGTTCCCCAACCCACAACTCAGTAAAACAAACCTATAATTGTGGTACCATTATAGAAACAGAGAAATAAAGAAAATGAGCATATTTGATGTGGGAGCATAGTTTAGAGAAATGATTTCTGTTTTAGACATTAATTAGATAATACTTAATGACTTTTTTGCATGATAATTTATAGAAAACTTTCAAGTTTGTTCTTTAAGCCTTATAACAATCACATAAAATTGAACAGATACTAGAATCCTTATTGTATTTGTTTTCTATTTTTGCATAACAAATTTTCATAACCTAGTGTCTTGAGAACAATCCTCATTCATTAGCTCACAACTCTTTAGGTCAGAAGTCCAGATGAATGTGACTGAGTGTTTTTACTCAGGGTTTTACGGGGATAAAATCAAGGTGTTGTTTGGTCTGGACTATGAGCTAGAATCCTTTTCCAAGCTACCTCAGGTTATTGGCAGAATTCATTCTTTGTGATTGTAAGACTGACATCCTGTTGCCTGGTCTGAGTGGCATCTAGGACAAGCTCTTCAAGGCCATACACAGTTTCTTGCCACAGGCCTTATCACAGGGTCTTACAAAAAAATCAAAGCTTTCTCATTTAAGGCTGGCAACAAAATCTCCTGTTATGGTTTTAGTCTCTGACTTTGTCTTCTGCAACCAATGGGAGAAAACTGTTTGCTTCTAAAGAACTTGTGTGATTAGGTTTTGCCTGGATAGTATCTTTTTTTAAGGTTGCATTTACAGGTTCTAAGGTTTAGGACTGCAACTTGTCTTTTTTTTGTAGAGGTAGGGGAAAAGTTCAACTTGCAACAGAGTTTTAGGATCCTAAAAAAAAATTGAAATGTATATTTGCTAAGAATAATAGCTAGTCTAAGAAATGAATCATAACCTTGGTTTTGGCTTTTTGTTCAGATTCCTAAGCCTTTGATTCTACCTTTGATTTATAACTACTTCATTCTGTCTATATGAATATCTTGATCTGTGAACTTAGCTTGTATACTTAGAAGTTTTTGAGTAAACATTGACTCTGAATATGGTCTACCTACTTGAATTGCTACTACTTTTCTTTTTCTCTCTCATCTGGGCCAATCTTGTGAAATTTGGACTTAGCCTCCACCTGAACTTGGAGTATTTACATATACCACTGTAGATGAATAGACCTTTCAGGAGATATCTTTTGCCTTTTTACAACTTCTGGAGCTAACTTCTCCTACCTTTTCAATCTGGATACCACCTGAATTAAAGTGTGTTCATATGTTCATAAAAATGTTTTAAATAAGTCTGAAAAGAGGCATAATAACTTTTTTAAGGAAAATACAAAAGAATAAGAGAATGTAATGCCACGTAAAGAATTCTTTTATTGATGGGAATTTAAGACTAAATCATCCACATATAACCAAGTCTGTAATTTCTTGATCTTTTGAGAAGTCTTTCTTATTTGCCAATAAGATTATTTCCTCAAAAATGCATCATTCCTGGCAGTTATTACAATTTTCCTCCTCCTTCTTTGGTACCAGGACCTATGCTGGGTATTCTCTAACAGCTTGTCTCTCCTGATCTTCAAGTGTTATTAGAGAAGCTGCAAAAGCCCAGCGTGGGTTCACCTAACAGCTGAGGGATGCCTTTCCTCCCTGTAGGATCACATGGGTAGGTATGCCTGTCAAGTTGGCTGTCCTTTTAAATATCTGAGAAGTGTAGGAGTTTTACCTACTATAACAGCTGCTAGAGATGATACATCTTCAGAGAAACAATCTAGAAGATAAGTAATGCAGGAGTTGGGGAGTGTAGTGGTGGGGGGGTAACACTACATTTCCCCTTACTTTTTTGTATTTTCCTTTCTAAAGTTATTGTGCCCTTTCTCCAGACTAACTTAAAACATGTTTAAATGCCACAGAACATCTTTAAAAGAAACAAAGCAATTCTTTCTCAAACCTTTTAAAATACCTTCCCATTCTTGGTACTTCAGAAGGGTCGACATGAACTCTGACATTTACCTTGAGAGCAGTGTTTCATTCCCAGCTCAGTTCATTTTGTGTGTACTCTACCAAAGCCCTGATTTGATATAATGAACTCTGCAGTTTTTATACACCCTGGAGAAAGGCATTATTTTGCTCCTCTGAAATAGTCAAGAGAAGAACCGGGTGGTCTTGTGATCTGTTTGAAGGTAAAGTACCACAGGGTTTCACAGTTTCTCTAAAAGCAACCTGAGGGACAGACAAGGAAACAAGCTGTTAGAAACCCAGCACAGAAATTGTTATGTGCTTGCTGTCTGGGGAGGATTTGCTGCTTTAAGATTCCTACCCTAGAAGAATCTCTAAGACCTCAAATGACCCCATCTCCAGGTTTCCTTGAAAAAATGAATTGATTTTAGACTAAATCTCTGAAATCTTTCCCTAGAGCAGAGTGAGTACCTTGGCTTTTAACTATTCCTCGTGAGAGGTATATCTACATGTATTGGTGTACTTATCCATCTCTTCCCTAATCTTTGTGTTCCTTAAGCTTTTATTTTGTAGAGGGAAAGAGCTATCTTTTTTAGTAGTAAAGTTAATGTTTTTGTGTGTGGGGTGGTGGGGGCTACCGGGGATTGAACTCAAGGGCACTCCACCCTGAGCCACATCCGTACACTATTTTGTATTTTATTTAGATACAGGGTCTCACTGAGTTGCTTAGTGCCTCGCTTTTGGTGAGGCTGGCTTTGAACCCACAATTCACCTGCCTCAGCCTCCCAAGCCGCTAGGATTATAGGCATGCACCACTGAACCCTGTATAATATAAAAACATGGTATGTTTCAAATGTCTCACCATCACATTCTTTCCTGCTATCCCTTGTACACTTTCCTATGTTTCTTTATGCAGAGACAAGCAAATATATGTATTGTCAATTTCCTTCTTTTCTTAAAGATAAGGTAACTATGCATACATTATCCATCACCTTGTTTTCTTTTTAGTTAGTGCATTCGAAATCTATTTATATCAATACATAGAAAGCTTCTTATTCTTTTCACAACTATATTCCATTCTATTCAATGTATTATAATTTATTTTCTCAGACCCCACTAAAAGAAATGAGTTGTGTCCATTCTTTTCTTATTGTAAACAAGACCACAATGATTTTGTTCATCTGCAGGTATATCTATAGAATATTCCTAGACGTGGAATTGTTGGGTCCAAGAGGAAATGCATTTATGATCTCAAGTTTTGAATCTAACTGTATCCAGAACCTAGCATGTGTGTAACGTGTAGTGTGTACTTGGTAAATAATTTGCTGAATAAAGTAATGATTGAGAGGCACTTTTTTTGGGTTTCTGCCTGTTTACCCTGTTGGAATGAAAAACCCATTTTAAAGCTGTAATGAATTCTGTATGATAATCCAGCACAAGTCATCTGTTT